TCATAATCATTTTCCCATTATGCATTTCAAACCTCAGCCAAATGGAAGGATCCAGAAAAAGGCATTCTATTATCATGGCACCTTTCATCTTCTAGCCTCCATATTGCCTTTGCTATATACAATTGGTTCCAGTTCACATGAAGACAATGATATACAAAAATATGTGTATTTGGGGAGTCTGACCAACTGATGTCATATAGTTTATTGCTAAATTATTGGGGCTTAAGAGTTTTTACAATATTCTTTGATTTACTAAGACAGAAGAAAATTCTATAGATAGATATTCTCTATAAAAACCGAGAAGAAAGAAAAGGTGTGTGTGTGTGTGTGAATGGTCTAATTTATCACAGTTTTTTAATGGATAGCTGAATAGAAAGATTCAACATAAAGCTATATGAAAGTGGAAAATGAACCTCTACTTTAGCATAACAGATAAAACATGAAGTGTGCTTCAAGGAAAACTCAAGTCACACTGGAAATGCCTTAAATATCTACATGTGTAATGATTCAAGAAGGCCCAGTGTACTAATGACAGGCCACTGCCTCATGCCACAACACTGCAAAGCCAAGCCATGCCTTTACGTTGCCCCTATCCAAGTACATTAAGAAATAATGGTTCTAAGATGAAAGTCTTGTTAGAGTTTCAGTGAAAATGTTTGGCACACCACTATGAAAAGTCAACAATCTGCTTTTAACGAGAGACACTGGAAAAACGTTGGTTAACATACCACTGAAAATATTAATTCTCCTTAATGGCAGGATGCAACATAGCTTTTTATAGTTTTTGATCCATGTCATAAATTTGACTTTGACAAAGGGGCTACTCCAGCTTTAATTCACTAGCAAGAGCATTAGCTATTTTCCAGTCCTAAAATGTTTGGCCCTTAGTATTCTCTCTAATGTACTAAAGGGCCAGATTTCTATTCTCAGAGGGATAGGCTAAGAGTTTGTGCTTGTGTGTGTGCATGCAAGCAAGCACATGCTTGCACAGGCATGCACTTGCACATGTGAATGTGTTGTCAGTGTATGTGTGTCAGCAGTGTGAATAATTCTCCTTAAACTTTTGGAGAGAGAAAATAAGGAAAAATGTTTGTAAGTCCCAAGTCCCGTACCATTGCCAGAATTCCAAAATTTGCAAAGCTGAATGAATGAGGAAGATAACAGCCTTATAAAACCACACTTAGTTGATCACTATATGCCTGATAATATGGTATCCATTTCAACTGGACATGGTATGAAAAAGTATATTTTGTCCTATGCTTTTTTTTCCTAAGCATAAAAATAAATTTTCAGATTTTAAAGATAAGAAAATGACGAAGGGGTAAGTGGTCTTCTCATTAGCTCAGGGCAATGAATTTTGGCTTTGGAACTTCCATTTCAAAGCAGTGTAGCTCTTGTTCAAAATCCTCATGTAGTGTCCTCTTTTAGTAAAATATATATACATGTTCAATAAATATAACTTCAGAGCTGGACCTTAACGTTTTATCCCCAATGCCTTTTTTCAACTCTGCCACTGAATATTTGTTTTTTTTTCAACAGTATTGCAAAGAAAAGGATTTTTTGAATTGGATAACACAGGATGTTTACTAAAGGAATAATTCTTTGTTACAGTGGTAGGAGGATGTAATTGTAATTAAGTTTTAGGTTTATTCCTAATGGTTGTGGATTCTTCTTCTTCAACAACAACAAAGATACATTTAAGGTATGCTAATTGATTTCTATTTTAAATTTCATTAAACTGAATGTCTTAGGGCAATGAACGAGAAGAAAGATAAAGTGTGAACTTCTTCATATACAGGAAAAATATAAAATAACTTATCACCAGAATGTCAAATGTTTTTGTGAATAGGGACACAAGTAGAGTGAATTATATTGTAATGGTGTTTCCTTAGCAAGTAGTTTTTAAACTTTCCTTGGTATAAGTATCATTTAGTTGAAAGTCTGAGGTGCAGAGACTAATTCAGTAGGTCTGAGGTGGGGTCCTGGCATCTGCATTTTAAACAACTTTCTCTCTGCCTTTTGATACTATCAGTGGTCATTCCTCAACTTTGAAAAAACATTCTTCATAACCTATGAAGAATTAAACTTTGCACACAGGGGATTATCCTTACTTCTTCCTGTCCCTATTGGTTTTACTTTCAGATGATACCTTTAAACCCTCCAGAAAGTGTGCTCCTTCAGAAGACAGGGGCCCTCTCCAGCGTGAGTTCCTGTGTTGGCTTGACAGGCATGTGGGGGGAATGTTAGGAAGATAATTTTAATATCAGTGTGATGATTAAATTAACTTCAAGGTCACTACTGATCCTAACCTTTTCATCGTGAGTCCTATAAATGTTCAGTATTCATTCTTTTCAAAAAATCATGTGTAAGAAAAGGGATAAAGTGCTAAGTTGTCCATTTCTTTTCTTTGTATTTCTTAAACATCATATAATGGAAAACTAAACTAACATCATACACTTTTTTTCTAGTGGCCTGTGGTTGCACAGGATTGAAATAATCTTAGTTTTCAGTCAATGCACCTTATTTATTTATTTATTTATTTTTGGTTTATATATACTGTTGTAAAATTATATACTGTTCTTTAGGCTACATATATATACAGTTTACATACAAGGTACTATGTTATATGTTACAATCTCTTCTTTACATTGATCATTATATCTTTTAGGCCACTTTGCATAAAGTGCACTTTAGATTACGATGCATAATCTAACCCACAGGCTCTAACTGTTTCATTATTCTTCATGGTGCATATCTTTCACATTTTACCTCTCTGTTCTCCCAGGATGGAGTCCCAGCTTGCCTCCAAATCCCCACCACTAAAAAAGATCTTGCAATGGATATCCTCTTACATATCCTTTGGCAAACCTGCACATATAAATCTCAAAACATATACCACCAGTTTATATTTTAAAACAAACTTTAGCAAAGTTTGGTTTCTGTCATTTATTTGATAACCTTAGGAACATTGAAAAAAATGTATGTATAATAACCTTAGATGTGTAGTTTACTTCATGATATAATTATAAATCATTCTTTCTCCCCTGTAGTGCTCTGTAGAGTGCACTGATTTAAATGAAAGGAAAGAGGGAAAAGAAATAGAAAAATATTCTCTTTATTGCTTTGAAAAATATATCCTACATTCTCTCTCAACTCTACTCTGATCAACTTGACTAAAAACATTGTCTTTTAACCAGTGCTTATCAAGCCAAACACAAAACCAGTCCAAATATATATACTAGTCTATATCAAATACTGTGAATAATTGGATTCTTTTGAAAAATTTTTATGGCATTAGCAATTTTTGAATTTAATATTAAAGTAGTTGTATTTGAGAATCATATATCTTTTAATAAGGCACGTTTAATAGATCAGTCCGTTGTATTCATATTTATTGAATGAACTTTCACATCCTTGCATTTAATGAAGTGTTACTGTAATTTGATTTGTTTATCTGGTGCCTCTCTCTTTATATTTGGAATTATCCTGCCAGCAAATATACAAAAGCTGTTATGCAGAGAACAGCAAATATCTTTTAAAACTTCACAGCAGCTTAAAGGCACCTTCAGAGCACATATTAGAGACCCGTTGCACAGCCTTGAAAACATATCCATGTGTCTATTTCTGTTCTTGATTTGATTTTTGTGCTCTTTTAACTGTTGAACATCCAGAATGATAGCTTGAGTACCATGATCCACTAAAATGAAATTTGCTTTAACCAAATTGGCAAAGGCATTTTTATTGAATAGGCATTTCAGTAAGATAGGAGGTGAAACCAAACACTTTTTAGTGGAAACAAAGATCTGAAAGTACATAGGAAGTCAGTGTGGAAATGAAATTTAGCATGCAAATCGCCACTTAAAATACTACTTCAAAGAAATAGGGTTGGTAGGAAAGTGGGAGATCATTTATTCATTTATTATTTTGTCGACTGAGGATTGAGAAGGTTCAAGTTTTAGGCAGTCCTCCATCTGTATCTCTTTAAGGTGATGGTTATCACACTTATTTTAACTGTCAAACTCATACCTTCCTAAAGTCTTATTCCAGAGACGTGAGTAGGAGTCAGCTGGGAAGAGGAGCACCTGTTTGCGCCTATGCTCGTTCCTCTACTGCCTCCCCCACCCCAGTACCCCTGAGGGAATGTTTGTGCTCCCAAGAACCAGCTTGGAAAGTACTTTACAGTTTGTAAAGGCAGAAAAGAAAATGCAAATACAACTCTTTGTGCCTTTTTGCGCTGATTGAAAGTCAAACGAGTCTCAAAGAGTTTGAGAGTCTATGAAGCTGAAAGGGTACCTCTGCCTTTGAGTTTGAGGTAGACTCAAGAAGTTCCCTGGGTTAACCCATTGCACATGACGCATTTCTTTTTCACTGTTCACCACTTCCACCACTGGGTCATGCAGAGACTGAATGCAGGACAGAACAGACTTAATTGGAATTTGTTGTGCACCATGTAGCTAGCTATTAACAGAAGAAGGCTTTAAAAGTTATTGAAAACAGTGAATATTTTCTCAGTTTATCCTCTAAGGTAGGTGTAATTTACCCTGTTTTAGTGATAGGCAAACTGAAGTTTGAAGGGGGAGAATGATGTATGCTAATATTTAATATCATGACACTCAAATATTCAGTGATACAGAATATCCCTTCATGTGTTTGTGCTCTCATTCATGCGCAAAACACTAAGTGCTTTTCAAATCTTGAGAACCTTCAAAAGTAGGCTTCAGTGGTGGAATTTGTATAAAAAACATGTCAGGAATCACAAAGAAAAACAATATTTTATTGGCTTATTCAAGAAACACAATAGTTATTTTCAAAGGGAAATAACAGATAAGCCTTGTTTATATAAGGGTAATTCAGAATTACTTGGCTGCACTCACTTGTTGATAAAGCTGAAATGAACTTTCACTTAGATGTACTTTGAAGGCTAGCTTCTGGCCCGGGTCCAAGGGTGGAGTGAAGGAGAAATCTGTCAGCAGTCAGGCCTGATTGTATTCAGAGTCCTACGCAGAGGGCAGACACCATTTTCCTCCTCGCACAGACCCAAGGAAAGGTAAGGTCTGTCCCTGCTGTTTGCAACCTTTTAAATTTTCTCTTCCTTTCTGACAGGCAGGCAGAAGGGACAAGAGCTGTGAGAGTGCTATTTAAGGGCTGTATCATTAATGTGTTGTACACTGATGCCAACTTGACATCCATGTAGTTAAGTACATGTATGTAATTGTCACCCACATTAATCTCAGTGTGATTTCTAGATACAAGTTGGTTTTTGATAGTGCAGGCTTTAAACACACCATATAGATATGTCAAGCCTGTACAAATGACCACACAAAGTCTATTTTCCATCAGCTTGCTGAAAGTGCCCCATAGTTCTAGCATTCCACTCATATCCAGCGAATGGCTGATAATCTACATATCTATAATATATGCACAGTGAATCTCTAAGAAAGAGATAAAAAATGTGCAGCATTTCTCAAACATTTTATTTCAGAATACTACAGGCTAATGCCTACTGACTTTGTTTTGGGTCCATTTGTTTGGTACCATTTGGGTGATGTAAGGAAGCTAACTGGAGAATAAACTAAAGTGGAAAGGCATTCATTAAACTGATCTCATTTCTACATGCATGATAGAGTCATCTGGCCAGCTTTAAAATTACTGATTCCCAGTCTTGTACCGGACCAACTAAATCAAAATCTCTGTAGATTACAAAGGGGAATTTGTGAAAGTTCCCTTGGTATTGCCAGGGTTGAGAATTACTGAACTAAGCAATCATTCCCACTAAAACACAAATAATCAAACAAACAAAATGAAGGCATATATGTCTCCTTAGAGTTTCAAAACACAAGAGTTTATTTACCAGTGACAAGATTGCTGGTCCTTAAAGTTCAAACTTCATGTGTGGGAATAGTGCAGTGTATCTTAAATTAACCCTTCATAACCTACTCAAAGTGTGGGTCAAAGGTCTAGAAACTTGGTAGAAATGCAAAATCTCAGACACCACCCAAGAACCACTGAACTATATAATGTATCTTTTAACAAGACTTCCCTGGGAAGTCTTCACATGCACATTCAAAATGAGGAAACATCAATATATAATTTCACCTATAGGAAAATCTTTTGAAGTTAAGGGTCCACTATTTTTGTAATCCAATTTTACACTATAAAATGAAATGAGCACTATGTGAAGAAGGGGACAGTGGACAGTTGCCCTCCAAATTTGAAACCTACGGGAAATCAACCAAGTGGAGAGCTTTCTAAAGATGATTCATAGATATTCATTTTAATTGTTAATTCTTTTCATCTGACACCTAGTTTCATTTCCTAATGAATGTGCTATCTTTTCACATATGCTTTCTTTCTTTGGCACTACGTAGAATTTTTCATCCTATGTAAGAAAATTGCAACAGAAGGCACTGCAGCCAAATATCGAGGAATGAGGGAATTTGGTGATTGGCGATTGGTGACTGAGAAACTCATGCAGCAGAATATTGAGTTTCCAAGGTTGAGTTTCATAGTCAGACACCCAGAGACACATTGCATCTTCAGCAGAATATCCTTAACCTGTATGTGTGATTAACCTGCTTCTCTTTAGTTCTTATTTTAATTCCTCTGCGTGTGTTTCTCTCCAGTCTCTCTGACCCTTCTTTGTTACTGGAGACACACTGGAGAGAAGCAGGAGTGTAGACTCTTCTTAGAAGATTTAAGGATAATTGCTAATCTTAAAAAGCATGATGCGACCTTTGTTACACAAACTTTTGGTAAATAGGAAGGCAGAAACTCTTTAGTCTGACTACTAGTTCTTGGCACACTAAGTAGATTCCCAACAAGGAAGTTGACTGGACACCATCCTGCATGATTTTCTTACAGTTGGCTCTAAGACAATAGCATAAGACTTGATCCAAATAACCGCTTAAGGCCATCTCAGTCTATTTTTATTATGTTTTATCTCTCTACCTCAGTTTCAGGATATTTAAATAACTGATATGCAAACCCCAGAAGAATGATTTCCTACACCAGGATTAACTAAGTATCTTGAGACTTCTTTTCAAGAGTTGGTTTGGTTTTCCAAAAGAGTTGGCTCCCAGGGTGTTCCAACTGCTTCCTGATGCCTGTAACAGGACTGGAAATAAGGAGTTCATCTTTCATATGCACAACATGGCTTTGGCAAAAGAAGAAAAATGTCTGTCCAACCAGGAAAAAACATTCACACACTCCCTCATGTTTATGTCACCCACATCCACAGGTCTGGAAACAGCTCCTGGGAGCTGTCTTTAGAACTGGCATGTTCTGATGGGGACACTGGAGTGAAGTTGTTACATATTCAACAGTGTCTCAAGCCCAGGGAGCTGCTTTTCCATTGCTATCCTGCTATTGTCCTTTTCTTTCCTTCCCTGTTACAGATTCTGTATCTTTCAATATGTCTATGTTATGAATGTTCTAAGATGATCTTTTAATTACCTTAACTCAAATGTGGATAATGTGTAAAGCCATGAAAAAGGCTTTGAAAATTAGGTGTTTTAAACTTTTTTGGAGTGCAGTCCCCCCTCATTAACTATAAAAAAGTATAGTCTTGTTTAAATTTACATATAGTAAATGTAAAAGAATCTTTCAAAAATATAAATATAAATAGAAGCTTAATTTAGAAATATGAATTCTTTTCCACTTAGGATACTATTTTATTTCTACATGAAGAGAAAGTTATCAATGGATTTAGAAAATCAAACTACATGAATATAGAGCTCAAAGGGGACTCTGTAAATTTCATCCAGAAATAACTTGACCATTCCAAATAATATTGTTGAAAATCTCCAGAAAGAGATTTTATGACTTTTCTGTAGTAATGTGATATATTTTCTTAAATCCCTCCTGTCTCAAGTTCATATCTCAGGAGAAATAGAGGCTTATCATTTCCCATTAATATCCCAACAAGTTTTCACTAGCCCTGCAAAAGAAAGTAACTCACATAAGATCTAACTGCCAGTGTAAGTCAAGATGGGTAAGAATAAAGACCAAGAATCCCTGTGCATCTGGGTGACAGTGTAGCCTGGTGGTCAACAGTGTGGGCTTTGGACATGAACTGTCCAAAGCTTTACACAACATGAACTGGTGATACCACTTTTTTTTTTAACTATATTATCTTAAAAAATACTTGTCTGTCTCTGTTTCCTCATCTATAATTGAGGTAATAATACTCACTTCATTGACTCACAGTAGATGATTTAGTATATTTTAAAGGGATAGAAGCATAATAGTGTTTTTATCTCCTATGTAGTAGATACTATACTTCTAGAGATATTTTAATATTTAGTATCCATTTAATCTCCTGATATATTATTCATTGGCCATTTTTATCCCCATTTTATCAGTAAAGAAATGGTAGGTTTGGAAACCTTCCCAAGAGGGCTCCCTTAGACAGTGGCAGGTTGGAGAGTTAAAGTCAGGGTTACCTCACTTCAAAGCCCATTTCACAATTCTGTCTCCATAAAGAGACAGTTATCATCTATCCCTAAAAATGATATCATTCTGGATACCATGTAAATGTAATCTAATTTTCTTTTACAATAATTTTAACTTTATTATGAAAACTATTGATTAAACTCTCTTCAACTCAGTTGAAATTTTCAATGAGAATTTTAGACTTTTTTTCCAAGTATTTGCAAAGTACCTTAAGATGAAAACCAATCACCTAGGTCTTTTTGCTTTGTTTTCTCTATTTGTATATTTATACAGCAAGCATTCACTGTGTACTACTGTGTAAATAATGTTCTCTATTCGTATATTTACACAGCAAGCATTCACTGAGTACTACTGTGTAAATAATGTTGGAGGTAAAATGAACATCAGGTAGTATTAATGCTAAGTGCACCTCTCAAGGCATTATCTAAGTGGAAGAGATGACACAACTCCTCATTTGGTGGATGACAAAATAGTCAATGTCATTTAATTAACTACTAACATGAATAACACAGGAAAGAAAATGCTATATAAGTTGCAATGGTTTGAATGCTATAAAAGAGTTAAGTTTTCAACTAGGAATAAAATAGTGGAGATAATTAACCTATAATATACAAGGCATTCAAAGCCAGTGATACACTGTGAGGGAAAGTGTACAGGTAGACTCGGATATGGCTTATTTGAAAAAAATGAGGAAACAACCTCATTATGAAGCAGAAAAGAGTAGAGGAGATATGTGAACTGGGACTTTAAAAATTAAAGAGCATACTGTTTATTTATTTATTTGTTTATTTATTCATACTATTTATTTTTAAAAACTATTTAAAATCTAACTTTGGATGATAAGTTGCAGTGTTTCCATTTCATCCCATAAGCATTTTAGGTCCATTGACAGTTTTTGAGCCAGGAATTATGTGGTAAAAATCAATATTTTATAGTGATTTCTAAATAATTTTGTGCTTAATACTAAATTATTTTGATCCCTTTCCTCCCATCTACACTTGGTAAAAGAGGGAAAAATGGGGATAGGATTAGGCAAATACTACCAGTCTCAGTGGAGTATGAGCATGACAGCTTATGTATGTAATGATTGAGAGAAAGAGACAATGGAGATCACTAAAATGTTCCTGTTCAGAGGTGATAGAAAGCTAAAGTATTGTGTGGGAATAGATAGAAATATACTGAAGAAATAGAAAGGACTTCGGAGGAAATATCAAAAACAGTCACACAAATGTCATCAAAAAGCTCCAGGTTATAGGAGTGCAACAGCTAGATCATAGATGGAGCTTTGAAAGGACACATTATAAATATACTAACATTTTCATGCTGGAAACTGGAGAATGGTCAGGTCCTCTTGACAGAAACTGAATGATTCCTTCTTAAAATATTGAAGGTAAGACTAGTTGATTTAAAACATTAAAGAAGTAACAACTTCATTTCCCTTCCTGACCCCACCAAAACATTCTGCATGTGAAGGAAAACTCTATGAAACCCAGCTGCATGCTATTAATATTCTCTCTTTTATAAGAGTGAGATCCTCCAAGGACAATTTGAGAAAGATATAACTATGCAACTAGAGCAGGCAGTCATGAAGATAAA